CAGGACACTGAGGACCGTCCTGGAAGGCTGCGTCTCAGCTGGGAGGGAGCGACGGGCTTTGGTGCTAAGACTCGTCACCCCGAGACTGCCCTGGGGAGCCCAGGACGACGGCTGATCCGGGAGTGACTGGGGCCCAGCCTCTCTTCCCTCTGCTGGCCAGGGAGGAGGCAGCAGGGCTGGGCTGCTGCTGCCGTTTCTCTTGGAAAAGAGTAAGACAACCCTGTGCCGCCTGCGTGGCCATGGCTTCCGAATTCTGCAGCGCAGAGGCGTTGGCACTTACGTCCCGAGGTCCCCCAGGCCCTCCCCGAGGCCCTGCTGCCGAGCCGTGGCCGCACGGCCGTTGTTGCTTCCTGTCCAAACCGGCACCCCTTCGAGGCCGTGCCAAGAAAAAGCGCCAAATCGCATCTGGAGCTTACAACAAACTCCTCTTTGGGGTTCTCTGCACGTGCCAGCACGTCCTTCTGCCGAGGGCATGACCCGGTGGGAGCTCCAGGCCGTCTTCTGCCGGAAGCAGGCGGCATGGACGCGGCATCTCACCCGGGCTGCGTGCGCCTCACGCGGGTACACGCTGCACTCAGTTTGGGGAAATGCCTCCGCAGATGGATGGTTCGGGTCACGCCCGCACCCTGCCCCGCCAGCCCCCTCCCGCCCTGGGCAGGTCTCCTCCCGGATGCCGCCCTGTGCTGGCTCCCCAGGTGACAGTCCGATATGGGGCATCACCCGGCACCACGTGGAACAGTGCAGGCTCTGGGCGTGCGGCCCCAGGGCAGGGCCACGTGGCGTGGACCCTCTGGACCATCCTCTCCGTGGCCCCCTCAGGGCCGCCTGTGTGCCAGCCAGAACAAAATGCACACTATAGGGTTGTCCTACCTTTGGCAGGTGACCCAGGGGACAGGTGCCCTGGCACGTATGCAAGTAGGTGAAAGCCAGGAGCCCAGCTCAGGCAGTGGGGTGCACAGGGTCCAGCCACCTATGTTGGCTGCTCTGGGTCTCCAGCCCCAGCCCGCAGCTGGCACTAGGCACATGCTTGTCGTGAGGTTGCCATGGACACCGGCCACGCTGGCGCAGGACAGCCCTGTGTCTAGAACACCTGACGGCCTGCCTCCCTTCACAGCTTCTGCTGACCCTCACCAGCGTGTCCCGTGGCCTGGTGAGGAGGTCGAGGGGCCCTCGCCCCACCTCCCTCACAGAGTCCAGGGGTTGCTGGTGGAGGAGGAAGAGATGATGAGGCGGGCGACATCCTGTCCCTGCAGCTGCCATCAGGCAGGAAAGAGGGTACAGCAGACGCCTCAGACACGGAGGGGGCTGCCTACAGGGGACGCAAGCCGCTGAGCAGGTAAACGAGATGATGAATCAGCAAGTAAACCTGAGGGCCCCGGACAGCCCCTGAGCTGGACGTCAGGCGGCACAGACGGTCACGGGACTCGGCGCCTGACCCACAACGAGGCCCGTGGACACTGGTCTGCCCCGCGGCCTTCCTGTCCCCCTCTCAGGATACTCTGAGGGCTTGCTCCCAGCACGCGGGTGAGGCTGGGCGCTCGTCCGAACTCAGTAGCTGCTTTAAAAAGGTGGGCAGTATGGTGGTGGGGTCATCGTCCGCATACTTGACTCTGAGCCTCTTTTTAATTCTGGGAAAAGCGTGTGACCGGGGGGCATCTTCCACCAGGCAGCAGCTGAGTCTGCAGATACTGAGACCACCGAGGACAGTGTCTGCCTGGCCTTGCCGTGAGTTTAGAGGGGTCAGGTGGCCCCAGTGGCTTTGATCATTATGTGTACTTGACTTTAGCCCGCGCTGTGTCCGGCTGCCGCCCTCCACGCTGCTGAGTCTCCCCGAGCTCTGTGGGACAGCAGCAAACCCTGCAGGTGCCTCAAGCCTCACCGCACACACGTCGGGACGCACAGCTGGGCTGCTCTAGCAGAGAACCCCGATGTCATTTCTGTTGGGGGCACAGCACCCACCATGGTGGGCCCGAGGGCTGCCCCAGTAGGCTGTGTCACTGCTCCCGGGACGTTTGCACAGCAGCTTTCAATCCGAGAGACTAGTAATTAGATGCTCACTGTACTTGTCTTCCTGCATGCAGAGGAGGGAGGAGGGAAAAGCCTAAGGTTGCAGGGTGAGACCCTCCTATGCAGGAGTCTAGAGCTGCAAATATGTGCCCGGGGGGACATCAAGACCCCAGCGCCCCTCACAAGCAGCAGCTGTCCTTTGAGCACCTGTCCCCACCCCACCTGGGTGTCGTCTCTAAGCAGTGGGGGCGCGGTGACTGTAAGTCTCTGTGGGCAGATGCCAGCTAGAGAGAAATCCAGACGCCCCAAGGAAGAGCATCTCCATAGAAACCCGGCCCCCCTGTCTCTGGGACAGAGGCAAGAGTGGGCAGCGAGGATCCTGAAGTCCCAGCACTGGTCAGCAGGTCAGCAGGCGACACTGCAGCTTGTTAACTTCTCATCGGAAGGCAGGTGCTTATTCCACAGCCAGCGGAGCAGGAGCTGACCTGGGCTCTGCCCTTATTAAAAAAAAACTCCTTGCCATGTCTAGAAAGAATGGGTTCCGATTGCTTTGGTTGAAGCAGTTGTGTTGTGTGCGCCTGGAATCAGACCCGTGATGCCCCAGGGAGCAGGGTCACACCTGTCCGAGGTGCCAGGAGCCTGTGGCCACGGCGATGGCTCTGGGTAGCGGCCCCTGAGCCTGACCACTCGCTGCAAGGACCGGCAGCGCCATCTAGTGGGGGCGCCCTGGGCCCTGCGCCCGGGCGGAAGAGGAACCCCCACTCCTGCCTTGGGGAATGAGGTGGCGAGGTGCCTGGTGCTTCCTCTGGCCAGCGGCCACGGGATGATTACTGTAGTGTCTAAAAAATGAGCAACCCAAATAAAGTACCACCAGAAAGATCTTTCAAGAACTGAAATGGCAAGAGAAGGATTTAGTTTTCATGCTTGCTCGGAAATGTGTTTAGAATCACCCCAGGGGGGAATGGTTTTCCCATAAGCCCCATAAAACCCAACAAGGGGTCCAGGCAAACTAAGGCAGCAGAACCTGTTTCTTGATCACCTGCCAGCCCCATCAGCAAAAGACCATTCTCCCCAGGCCTGTACCCCAAATCGCCCACCTCCGTCATGGTGAAGGGGGCCCCGACCTGTTACTCGGTGCTAAAAGTTAAATCATACCTCTTCCTGCGGCTCCGCGCTGCAGCCTGCGCATGTCCTCACCACATGCTCGCCCACGAGTGTGCACACACGTGCATCTGCTTAAACCTTCAATCTGGGGGTCTGTGCCAACTCCCCTCCATGAAGTAGCCGCCATGTGCCCTCTGGTCTGCACCGGTCCCCGTTTATAGGTCCACCTGCCCCTGCTCCTGCCGGGGCCGGCGCTCGCGGTCGCCGATGAAGGCTTAGGGCACGGGAGGGCGTGCACCGGCCCGCTTGGTGATTCTGCTGGTTCCATGTGAGCGGCCGTGGTGTGTGTCAAGTAAATAAGCTACATTGATGTGCGTTTCAATGATTGCTGTCTGGGCGCTCTGGGCGGGGTTTCTCTTTCTTGCCCCTTGGTGTCCATTGAGCGCCGGGTCCCTCTCCTTCCTCGCCCCTGCTCCGGTCCGTCTCGCATCTCATCTTCCCCGCTCTTGCCTGCATCTCATCTCATCTTCCCTGCTCTTGCCTCCGGTCCGGTCCGTGCCCCCTCTGCCACGGGCCCCCTCTGCCTGGTCCGGGTGCCTGCTGCGCCGGGTCTGGGCGGGGCTCCCCCCTTCTCATCTTCCCTCGGGTCCGGGTGGTCCATCTGCCCCTGCTCTTGCCTCTGGTCCGGTCCATCTCCCCTCATGCCTGGGGGCGGGGCGGGTGGGCCCCCGCCCGGAAAAGGCCAAGCGGGTGCCCGCGGGCGAGGTCTGCTGCACCGTATCTGGGTGGGGCCCGGGTCTGCTGCGGGGCTCCCTAGCCGGGGCTCGAGCTCGGGCCGTGGGCGGTGAGCAGTGATCGCTCTGGTGCTTAGGCCCCTGCGCCACTGGGGAGGCCCCCAACCTAGGGGCTTTCCTGATACCTATTAAAGAGCTAAAAACTGACGCAATGTGCGTACGATTGGCAGGGCCTGGAGACAGGCGCGCAGGCCCACCTGGGTCTAATGGGCTAAATGTAGTAAACAAGGCATTTCCCTAACCCGGCACTTCTACTTCCAGGCCAGTTCTGGGTGTAAGTCACAAAAAGGGGTGCATCGCACTTTTTAAATACTTAAGGTAGGCTTACTTTGGGAAATGCAGTCACTGGGTCCCCTAAATTCCTTTTAAGTGAATCTGAGATGCCACTTTAAAATACCATAACTTGAAATTTTGGTAAAATGAAGTTTCTTTCCCTGAGTCGGGGTGTAGCGAGCCAAGGGAGCAAGCCGTGCAGACACCGTTTATGCAATCCGGGCAATGTGGGTTATGCTCTGCACGGAACCCTCATGGAATGCAAAATGAGGGTGTTTCTGCAAACACAGCTTTGCAGACGCCTCGCCCGGCCTTCTCGTTAGCAACTTTTTGTCTAAGCTGCCACATCTCAAGGTGTCGCGAAAGCGCTCTCACTGCTTGAATGGAATTAAGAGTCTTTTACCAATATAAGACGTAACACACGGGTCCACTGGGGCCCGGGAGCACGGCACGGGTTTTGGGGGTCCCCTGTAGAAGCCCCCGGAAGCTCCTTGCTTGGAGGCTGGTGCGCCCCTCATCTTGATCTCGACACCAAAGCCCCGAGCTTGCCCGTGGTTGCAACTCGAGGATTAACCAAGAAGCAAAGTGCCCTCGGCGGCTCGCCCTCCCTTGCCGGGCTCCCTGCCCGCTGGCCCGTCACCTGTGCTCACCTGCAGGGAGGAGGAGCCCCAGGTCCCGGCAAGGGGGTCGTTCTGACATCGTGGCTCATCCAGAAGAGGTTTGCCTGCGCTTCCCCTCCTGAGCCCCTGCACCCCCCCACCCAGCTGCTCAGAATTCCCCTCTGAGCGCATCCCGCTGAGCCCCTTTCCTCTTGTCTTCCAGCCCTCCGAAGCCCACGGTGTTCATCTCCGGCGTCATCGCCCGGGTAAGCCTGCCTGTCCCCTCTCCGCCCTCCATCACCCCCAGCCTCGCCTCCTGACGCCCCCCATTCATCAGCCCAGTCGTCCATCTGGGGCCAGAGGCATATGGGGCAGCCTGGCTGGGCCGGGCGGGCTCTGTCCTTGGGAGATGAGGGCGCCCAGGGCAGAGCCGCCGCCCCTTGCCTCTCCGGCCCCTCTGTCAGCTCAGCCGTAGCCGGCGAATGACCCGCCCGGGCCGGATCACAGCGCGGTTCCAACAGGGCAGCCTCCAGGGCCTGTGAGCCCGAGGAGCGGCCGAGACCCGGGGTCAGGGCCGGGGACGGAGACCTCCGCGGGGAATGTTGGCCTGGGTGCCTCGGGGACCCCACAGCCCGAGGCGTTTGCCTGCGGCCTTCCATGCCACCCCCACCCGGGACCCAGCCCAGGAGGAGGGAGGGAGGCTGCCTGGGGCTGACCCGCGCCCCTGACCCCCTCCCATGCTCCGCAGGGCGACAAGGACTTCCCGCCGGCGGCCGCCCAGGTGGCCCACCAGAAGCCCCACGCCTCCATGGACAAGCACCCCGCCCCCAGGACCCAGCACATCCAGCAGCCTCGCAAGTGATGGGGGCGGCCCCGCCGGCACAGCTAGTTCCCGACCAGGACTGGCGTCTCCCCGGGACTCCAGCCAGCCCCAGCCCTCCCCCCCCCCCCCCCCCCCCCCCCCCCCCCGTGCCTCGCACCCCGTCCCGGGCTAGCCGCGGGCGGGCCCGCACCTGGTCTCCAGGGAGCCCTGGCCGGCGCCTTTGAGGCCCCGGGGTCCCGCAAGTGCCATCCGATCTGCCAGAGCTGAGTAAAGTGCAGTCCGCCCAGTGCAGCCTTGGTTATTTCCGCGCTCGCCCAGCGCCTGCCGCGTGGCCTGGACGAGAGGCTGCGGTCGGGGACCGGATCAAGGTTCGGGGAAAGCGCTGTCGTCTGTCGTCTCTCACCTTAGTAACAGGAGAGTCGCGCCTCTGCACACCGGGGGGAGTGGGGTGAGGGTGCTGGCGGTGGGGTGGGGTGGGTTTCGGGAAGGCGGAGCAGCGAGGACTTCACTTTAGTTCTGCTCCTGGTGGGACCTGGCCGAGCTCAGCTGCCCCAGGAAAGTCGAAGGCAGCCCCAGACCCGAGATGGCCCTTGGACTCAGAGCCAACTGCTGCACAATGAGGACCAGACCGTTGGTCCAGGGGGCGCCCTTCCAGAATGAGCTCCCGGGCGGGTCCCGCGTCCAGCACTGTGGTAAGACCTAGCGGCCCCGCCAGGGGAGCCCAGACACCTGCGTTCCCAGCCGTCACCCCCGAGCTGCCCTCGAGTTCCGGGGTGATCGCGGGCCGGGCGCAGGAGTAGACCCAGCTAACTCCAGAACTGACCGCGAGACGCGACTGCCTGGAGCGCCTGCCCCGTCCCCCAGGGAGAGGTCGAACCCCACATTCCATGTCAGCTAGGAAAACCCGCCTGCCCGTCGCCACCGTCCAGAGTTGGCCCACGTCTGCCTGGGCCCGACGGGCCTGTGCCCTCTGAGGCTCCTGCCGGGCCCCGGGGCTGCTCGCTGGCTCAGGCCGGGGCGCCCTGTCTTCTGAGAAGCCAAAGCTCTCAGATGTGCAGCCCCCAGAGCGCTGCTCTTAGAGCGGCACCTGGGTCCCCAGGGCACTTGCTGCAGGTCGGCAGTGTTGGGAGCGGCCCCCCGGCGTGTGGAAGCATCCCACGGTGCCACGGTCTGCGGGGAGATGCCCCAGCAGATTCCCCTTCTAAGGCTCCCTGCCCCAGGGCCTTGCCGCTGCCGGTGCAGCCCTCGAGGCCCAGGCCCGTGTCTGCACTTCGGGCTAAGCCGCCTTGGAGGCGAGGCTGCCTGGGCAGAGGCGTGGAGAGCGGCAGGCTCGGCCTGAGTGCACCGTCCCCCGGCCTGAGAGGACATGAGCAGCCCCAGGCGCTCTGAGCTCCTCACAGCCTCCGTTTCCCAGGGGCCGGGAGCAGCGGCACTGGCTGCAGCTCCTGAGCACGAAAGCGAAGCTCCTCCCCAACCAGCTCAGCAATCCTGTATGTCAAGAGCAGTGATTACAATAAAGCTCCTGCGTTTCTGCTGGTGGCTTGTGTGTTCCCGATCGCAGCGTTTTCCTCTCCTCGTGGGGGCCGGGGCCTGTGCCCCTGTTTTCTCCAAGGCTGCGCCCTCACGGGGCACCCCATGCCACAGATGGGAAGGCTGGCTCAGCGCCCAGCATGGACTCACAGTCCACGCATGATGGAGGATAAGGGTAGAAAAACTGGAGAGGAGGCGCCACAAGACCAGAGATCCGGCTCCCACACGCCACGAGCTGGAGGTGCGGGGAGAAGGCGTGAACAGCCATTGACCCAGCTTAGGAATGGAGGCCCTCAGCCGCCAGCCCCTCCCAAAGAGAAGGCTGGGTCAGGGCAGCCACTGCACTGGCCGGGGCAGCAGCCCTTCTGCCCACCTGTGCCTAGGCAGGTGCCTCTTTTCACTCTCTGCCTCTGCAGGGCAGCAGCCTCCTGCCTGCCGTGACCTGCACCTGCCCGGGCTTCTCCTCACTGACCCTCTCAGCAGAGGCCGCTCTCCTCAAGGCCCCCGCCTGCAACCTTGCAGGCCTTTCTCAGCAAACCTGTCCCTTTTGGGGCAGCCCTTTCTGCCCGTTTGTGTCTACACAAGTGTCCTTTACTCTTCTCTCCCTTCTATGATAACCTGCCCTTTGGCTAGAACTAACGTCCTGGGGAAACTCGCCGGTGCCGCTGAAAGGGGAGCTCTGGGGAGACCTTTCCCAGAGTGACCCCAAGGACTCCGCTCTCCAACCCAACACCTCCCAAAACAACATCACAAACGTGCCCAGGGGGATGCACAAGTGGCCCCCGAGCCCATAGAAAGATGCCCGCCACTGCTGGCCACCAGAGAAGGGCAAAGCCACGCCAGTGTGGCAGCACCGGCTCCTCACACCCCGGGGGTCCGTCCAGTACCGGGGCAGTGAGGAGGCCGAGGTCTCCTCGCGCAGAGCCGCTGGGGGCAGAGGACGGCAGGCCACGTGCAACGAAGCAGCTCCTCGAACACTGGCCCATGGAGCGACCACAGGGCCCGGCGGGAGCTCAAACACCTTCACACCGAAACGGGCGCGCGGAAGTTTAGGGTGGAAGAAACACCCACGTGTCCATCAGCTGAGCGGAAAACAGAACATAGCTAAGACGCGTCGCTCGGCAGCTAGCAGACCCCGAGGGGGTCCGCGCGGCCCCGCCCGTGGCTCAGCCCCCACTCACCAGGCAGCGGTGGGACCGGCCCCCCAGGTCTCTCCAGCTGGGCTGTTTCCAACACGAGTCACCTTGGTGTGAGGAACTAAGGGCCCCTGGGGCTCCGGGAGCCGTGGGAGAAACTTCCACAACCTTCACTAATGCAGACGACCCCGATTCAGGCCCATCTCCAGGGAAAAACCAAAACCCTTTTATTAGAGAAACTGACCTGAAGGCCGCGCGGAGCTCCAGAGGCGCGGTTGCAGCGTGTGGCGTCGTCTGCTCTGCATCACGGAGACCCCGCCATGAGGCCCGCATCCCATTTCTCAGCTCAGGGTATCAGCCCTCCATCTGCCTCATTTCCTCTAGAACTCACAGCCCTGTCAGTCCTCTGCACGTGTGTGATTACATTCGGTCTTTTTCTCCTGCTGCTCTGACAACGTTGATTTGTTCGCTTGCCCAGTGCAAGAAGACCCCCAAAGAGCGCGGGACTGTCCCCTTCAGCCCAGCGCTGTACCTAGCGTCTCACGTGCAACGTCGTATCTGCAGTCCGTGGGAGACAGACGCGCCATCACGCGTGCATGACTGTGTGCGTGGAATATTACTTGGCCTTGAAAAGGTGTGACGTGCTTTTCATAGTACGACATGGATGCACCTTGAAAACACTAATTCAGCGACAGAAGCTGGTCACAAAGACCATGTGTTAAGTGATTCCATTCACAGGAAACCCCCAAACTAGGGCACTACAGAGGCGAGGGCCTCCCAGGGCTGGTGGGCGGCGGGGGGTGGGGGGCGCTGTGAGGATTAAAGGGCACCTCTTTTTTCAATGATGAACATGTTCTCAAATCCACTGGGGGTGCTTGCGTGTGCCCGTGAATATGCTGAAAACCGTGAGTCCACCCTAAATGGGTGGCTGCGTGATGTGGGAATTACAGCTCAGTGAAATTGGGTTTTTCCTTTAAAGAATTAGCAAGTGCAGAGCTGGGGCCTGACTCCAGACGGTCTCCCCCAGAGCGGGGCTCTCCAGGGCGCCTGGCCTGGCTCCACGCGGCTGTGGGGCCACAGAACAGAAACGCCACGGAGGAGGCTCTGGGGCCACAATCTGCTCACAGACGTGGTTTGGACGCAAAGGGCAAGAGGGTTGAGGTGATGCTGGGGCCCCAGTGAGGTGGCGAAGGTACCCACCAACAGGAGCGTGGAGCCTGGAGGGGCCTAGCGTGAGAGGCGAGGGGCCAGCAGGGGCTGAGGCTGGCATGCCCGTGGCTTCGAGCAGAGTCCCGAGGCTTTGCCACGTGAGACCCCCACCCGGAGCTGTGCCAGCGCTGTGGGCAACCCAAATCTACCTCCTGGGGGGTCGCTGATGGGCAGGCTTGTGCGGGCAGAGTGGAGACCTGTCTGGGTGAGCCTGTGGGCTGAAGTCCAGCACTGCACTGCCCCGGGCCAGGCGCCTGCTCTGTCCTCACAAGGGTGATGCTGCTGAGCCCTGTGGGCACCAAGGACAAACGTCAGGGACATGCTGCCACAGTCACAGGCTGAAGCCCAATGAGGACAGGTCACGGAGGCAGGAATGACCACCCCAAAGTCAGGAGCATTGCTAGGCCCCTGTGGAGGTTGCTCCCAGACCCCCCACCCCCAAGAAAGGCGGGATGTGTGGGGGGGAATCGCCTGACTCAGCAGGCTGCACGGTAATCCATTATTTTCAGGCACATCTGCCTCCTGCCTGGCGGCCCAGGGTGGTCTCTTCCGCACTGCGGGGTTTTCTCACTTTGCAGCTGTCGTGCTGGTTAAATGCCTCTTTTCACAAACCCCAAAGTAAACTTTTTCCCCCCAACACTGGGCATCCTGCTGTTCTCTGCAGTATAAAAATCAAAACAAAACAAAACCCAGGCATTGCGTAACCCTCCCAGGAGGCGTCTACAGCCATATGCCCTTGACAGAGGGGAGCTCAAGGGGCGGCGAAACATGAAGGGGAGAGCTTGCTGTCCTCAAGAGCTGCATTAGCCAGGACCCCCAGAGAAGCAGGAATGATCGGATGAAGATGATGGATGGATGGGTGGGTGGGTGAGTGGGTGGATGGGTGTGGGGAGAAAGAGATGATAAAGAATTGGTAGATGTAATAACAATGTATTGATAGATGCATGCATGGATAACTGACAGTTGATAGATAGGTAATAGATGATGGTGGGTGGGTGGGTGGGTGGGTGGATGGATGGATGGATGGATGGATGGATGGATGGATGGATGGATAGTAGGTAGATGACAGAGATATGAGAAAGATTTAAGGAATTAGCTCATGTGATCATGGAGGCTAGCAAGTCCAAAATTTACCAGGTATGGTGATGGGGAAAAGAAAGAAAGAAAAAGAATATTAGCCTGGGCCTCCCGGGTGGGGCAGCGGGTTGA